CCAATATCATTACCATGGACCTTTTGCCAATTGAGAAGACCAATTTGACACCTCTGACCTTGAAAGTAGGTCTAAGTCAATAAAAACTTGGTTTAAACATTTGAATATATTTGACCCCTGTGACTGTGAAAGCAGGTCAAGGTCATTTAAATTAGCAAATCTGGTAGTCTTTCATCATTGCATACTACAGGCCTAATATCAGCACCCTGGGCTTTTTGGTTATTGAGAAGAAGTTGATTAAACATTTTCACATATCAGACCCATGTGACCTTGAATGTGGATCAAGGTCATCCATATTAACAAATTTCAGAGGCCAAAGTTACAAAAGCAAGCAAAAAACTATAAGTGAAAATGTCATTAGAATATAGCCTTTCAATTTGTATTTTCATTATTACTCTTTCAATAGTGGAAATGTTAAATGATAATTAAGGCTGTGTTGATGAAATATGCTCAGAAAAACTAACCAATTTCAATTAGTTTGATTATACCTGAATATACAGTTTTTCTTGTTTGATATTTATATGAATTCTATTATCATTGTAACTAAGTTTTTCTAAACTTTTATTTTGTTGAAGAAACTGGTGTCTGATATTCGTCCATTAGAATATGTCTAAAACAATCCCAATTGACTGTCTGATAGTAACAAAAATGTTCCTGATGGTAACAAACTCAAACTACTTTGTATCCATGTTACCAAATGGTTAAGTCCCAAGGTCACACAAAGTAAATGAAATTAAAATGGTAACTACACCAGACGGAAATTTAACTCTTAAAGTTGAGAAATGAAGAAGAGGTTGGAGTTGCTTGACAAAGAAAAAATTGACCAACTCTATCATACAAATTGTGATGTAATGAAGAAACAATACCAAAAGTTTGATAAAAGTTTGTAACTTCAATAGTACAAGTCAACTTGTTGGACTCCTATGGTAAGGTGGGAAAACCAGACCATTTACACAAATACAAAACTCGCTGAGTATGCATTTCTAGCACATTGTGTCCTTTAATTCAACATTCATCACAAATCACTCGTTTGACAAAAAAAAAAGAAAGAAAAAAAAACAACTTGATGACGTCTAACACAATTGATGTTAATCGGATAACTTCCAACAAAATCACAAGGTACTCTGTTCAGATCACAAGACTACAAACTGAAGTATGCCAAGTTAATTTAGATTTTTCAATGGTAAAAGGTAGATGGATAAGGGAGAAAATGATCTGTCTTTCTGTCTCCAGATCGGGTAGAACATAAAAGTAGGTTTGCTAATAGATGGATGCTGACTGAGGTTTGTCTGAAATCTACCCTCGTCCCAGACAGATCATATTGTGGACCTCCATGGGAGACTACCACTACAATGACCGTCAAACCATACCAGACAACACTTAATTATAAAGTCTGAGAAAATGTTACTGTATGGAGAATTTACACTTTAAATTCAGGGTTGGTATGTCTAAAGATTGTCAATTCACAAATCACTTTATTCTAATTCTCTTGTTTGCTATAGTCTGAGAATCTACTCACTAAGCAATTTCTAAATGACAGGTAAAAAACTAAACAAGAATATCCATGAAACTGATGAATGCTCCCTGAAAATGACTTTATTGGACACAAAATTTTAACAAAGCACCATAATTCTGTAATTAAGTGTTTGCAGGCCTTGATTTTGGTATAATGCACATTTTCTTAATATGCCAAGTTTCTACCAAGTTTCATGATCCTACTTTAATGCAAGCAAAATTTTAACAAAGGGCAATAACTGTGTAAGTAGGGGTCATAGGCCCGGATTTTGCTTCACTACATCCTAGAGCAAATGCAGGCAAAGTATTGCTCTATACACAAAATTTTAAGGGTAATAATTTTATTATTAACTGGTTGCAGGTCCTAACATTGGCACATTTCACTATGTCTTTATATGATCTATGAATACACCAAGTTTCATTATCCTACCTCAAATGCAATCAAAGTTATGCCCTGGACAATATATTTTCACCAAAGGACAATTCAGGGGTCAATGACTCTGAATTTGGTACACTGCACATTTTCTTAGTATGATCAATGTTTCCAACATGTTTCATTATCCTAGTTAAACGGAAGTACCGGGGGTAATTTAAAGTTTTGTTCTAGACACAAAAAGGGCAATAACTCTGTAATTAAGGGGCTGCAGGTCCTGAATTTGGTACAATGCACATGGTCTGAGTATGATCAATGTATTACATTAAGTTTTGTTATCTTATTATAAATGCAAGCAAAGTCATGCTCTAGACAAAAGATTTTAACATAAGGCAATAACTCTGTAATTAAGGAGTCAAGGGCCCTGAATTTGGTACATTGCACATTCCCTAAGTATGACCGATGTAACTGTGTGTAAATTATGCTCCGGACATGAAAGGACGGACAGACACGGCGGTGACTAAAGGCTCCCCTGAAAATTTACAGACACCACATAAAAATATTGAACCATAGGCTACAACAGTATTTTCCTCCAAGACTATCAGAAAACCAAACATTGGGAAATTATCCCCAGCATTCAGCAAATACAGAGGCTAGAGTCACAAATTCATCAGAATATCACAGTCACCCATATATAAAAAAATTCTGAAAGAATTTATTGTCTATGCACAATTTCTTTTCTTGATACTATTCATGATGGCAAACATCTTTCTTATTGAGGTAGATAATTGACATTGATATTGGCGAAACTTATTTTATCGATAGTCTCAAATGTATCATCAGAATTGGAAAGTGGAGAGAACAATGATGATAATCTTTGTGACAAATTCCAATTCAGTTATCTCTGTGAGTTTGTTGGTTAAAGTCAGGATGTCAATGTAAAAATGATCACTATTACAGTAAATGATATTATCAACTGAGGAATCAACTGCAGTTATAGTATACTAACTAATTAATATCATGTCACATGGTATTCAGCTCCTACATTTACTGGATAATCATTTGCAAGAAACATACTGACACCTCTGGTTGAGTGTCCTGTCATGATCCCTTGTTGTTGTCTCTACACGATGTCCATGGTTTTACCAATCTACTTCAGTGAACAAGTAAATACCTTAACCATTCAGAGAATGACATGAGACATTTTGGGCAAGAATAATTAATTTCATTTTGTTGTAATAACCAAAATTCATGATCTATAATCTCCAGTATAAAACGAAGCACATTATCTCCTATATTTGTGTCAACATAATTCTTGTGAAACATATTTTTAAGCACTTCAGTATGAGAGATATGCAGTCAGCAAGGCAAACTCAAATCCAAATTCTTACCTAAAACTCCTATAAAATACCAGACAACTGCATGACAACATAATCCGCTTCACTTTTTCTTCCCAAATTGAAATTACTTTTTTTTAAATGAAATGAAATAATTGTTAAATGAAATTTAATTGATATGAATTAAAAATAAATTACATTTACTTTTAAAGCTATTATTAGTGAAACTGCAATCTAATTAAATTCTACAAAGATTAAAAGAATACTTTTATTCAAGATCAACAATGAGGATTTAATAAGAAACTCGAATAATGACACAAGCACAGATGGACAATCTTTAAGGTTAAATAAAAACACACCACTAAACCATTTTACCCAACTTGACCTTTAACACAGGTAAAATCCTCAAAACAGGATGTATAGGATGTATTTAAATTCAATCAAAATGGTCTGCCCATAAACCTATTAATCTGACAAATAAGAACAGGATAACATAGTCAGAAGTCATTTGGTTACTAGGCCATAAAAAGCATGTGAATCACAGATGTTGTACAGTACATGCTGGTGAATCAGGCTAGACAAGCATGCTTCCACTCCGAAGAAACACTCAGGAGTCAATTAAGACCTAATCGTGTGAGTAATTACTTCCATCAGAGTGGGCAGGACCTATACCTGCAAGTCCTATTGGGTAGCTACAAGTGTCAGTTTAACACTGACCACTGTTGGTTCTAATCCATCACACCCAATGACCAGTGACCAGAACGGACACCTGTGGACAAGCCACTGATAGAGTAGAGTTTTCGTGTCAGAGCTACCATACAGGAGTTCACACCTTCAGCAGCACACAACGTCTCTATACCACAAACACTGTTTGACTTATAACAGTTCATTAACATTCCAAATACCCGCCCTTTAACAGCATCAAATTCATTGGTTTGTTGACTGTGAACTCTCCGAGGGAATATATGCAGTAGCATTTAATATAGTGTGTGATAGTCACTACCGCAAAGAAGAATTCTGAGATAACCCTGTGTTGACAATTAGAAGATGTGTATCATACAGAGCTAAGCCAACCCAAGGTAAAACATGTGATAGCATTGGGAATTAGTACTTCACAACATTGTATGGTGGTTGGATATCAGTACAACTGACCTGTCACACTACACTAAGTGTATATATATGGACTTTTTTTGTGCTGAACTTCAAGCACTTCAGTGATTCAGACCACACAGAACCAGAACTGTGAACAAGACCCACTGAAAAGGATCACTACCAAGTAGTGAACACAGAGTAACAGAACTGAACCAGATCTAGTTAAATTTGAACAAAGACCAGTGTTCTATGAATGATATTGAATATAAAGTGTAGTAGAAATATTGAGAACCACTGTCGGTTGCTACTAAATCAGAAATATTTATCTTCTGACATCTGGATATGAAGTCGTGAAACTCTTTTCCCGTTGTACAAGGGATTTAGCCAGACTTTTGATATCCCACCCCATATAAAGGACAGGGCTATAGTAATCCATGTGATAGGAACTCCAGGGACCTGTCGCCACATTCCTGGTGTTGACAGGGTGACACCCGATATCATCTCCCCCCACCACCATAGTAATTATTCTGTCCCATGGAGCTTATAAATATCTACATGTGTAGGGAGAGTTCCCAGTAGATCAGCCACAGCCAGGTCTCCAGTCCCTGGAGGACTATAGGAAGGAGAGGTGGGAGTAATCTGTCTGACACCCTGCTACTCTACCCATATACACCTATCTAACAATGCAGACGGTTAGACTACAGCAGTCTCTGTTTCTCTATTTGTTATGTGGATATTGTGTTTTATCAGTGAGTCGTGCAAATCCGCACCATCGTCACAAACATGACATTAGGGAGAAGGATGGAGAGGACACTAAGCCACAAATTCTGGGTTCTAGTTGTGATAACAGTTTTGACAGCCATTTAGACAAGTGTTTGGAGCCATTCTCTAGGAAGGCCCATATATATACAACCACACACCCGCAGAACCCTATAGTGAAGGAAATCTTTGTTAAACATGTGTGCAGGTATGTATCCTAAAGGCATTTGACATTAACCTTTTTCCTACACTGATAAATCACTATTTTAGGAAGAAATGTCATCTGTTTCAGTTTTATGTAGCAAATAAAATATAGTGAAATCTGTTTTGCCAAGGAATAAGAAACTGTTTGTTTTCTCCTTAGATTAAAACTAAAGCAAATTCTTGTGAGCTAATCTATCTTCCTAAACATCAAAACACAATTTATGAATGTGTATCTGAATCAAATGAAAACTAAATAAGACAATAGGTATGCAGGTCATGTACCTGTAATATGTAATATGTGCACAATTTAAACAACATACGAAACATTTCCATACTTTTATACTGAAACTTGTTCCCTTTCTATATTATTCTATCATTCAGTTTTGAAAATTCCACAAAGATATGTCATGTACGTGCTATGATTTCCTGGTTCTATAGTCTATTTTGCCCCTCGACCTTCCCTAGTTTTGTATCGATCCGGCATGTTTTAGCATTTCCCAGCACCCTGAAACAACCTTATAATCTTAATGTCAGACCTTTCCTTTAAATCTGCACTCAGTCCAAGTATTCAAAATATTTCTAATATCTAGGTTAAGTTAAGAAAATGGAATAAAAAACCTTTAACCCAATAGGAAAGTAGAACAATATATCTATTGTTTAATATCATTTAAATACAAAAGAAATGAGCATACATGTGAATCAGTGCATCCAGCTATATTTCCCCCTCAACCCCCACCCCCAGACTTGATGGTTAATTTCCTTCGTCAATTTGGCAAAACAGTAACAGAATCTGGACAGCTAGTACTAGGTATTGAGCACCTGCAGCAAATGTTTACCAATTACAAGACATGTTGTCTTGATAGGTTCATCAGCAGTATAGTGTAAGTATTTATAATTGTCTGACGAAGGGTCCCCACTATAGCATACTACGTAATAGGTGTATTCTTGGGAGATTACCTCATAGACACTAAACAGCATTCATGTGTTAATTGATCAATATTTAATGAATCTATAATTAGAAATGAGGAAATGTGTTCAATACTAGGCAATCAATATCTAGGAGATCATATGGCTACTGGCTTGAAGCCATCTGCTGTGTGGATGTCATAGTGAATAGGACCATTTCATAATCATCATATAGACAATTATCTATTATTTATATCCATGACAAGGATAATGGTAAACGTGTTTGCCATAAAGATACGATCAACATAAGTTAGGCCAGAAAAAAAGTTGTTTTATCATTATTATTATTATGGTAATGTAATTTTGTAAGAAATGTTGACTGACTACAGAAGCCATTATTGATCATGTGTTACATTTATATATAGTTCTTATCTCACACAGAGCCAAAAACAAAAAAATTAAATTAATCTGTTAATGAATTCAACTTTGTAGAGTTCAACTTGATAGCAAAATCAAAATTTTTACAAACAGTACTAACTTTTCCTCAAAAACAATACTTAGAGGATATGTACCCTTGACACATTATAATCTTGTCTTTTGAAACAAAAATTCAATGAAGAAAATGATTCATTATAATCATACGATGCTGATCACCATATTTCAAACCTGTACCTGGTTTTATGTCAATAATTATCAAAAGAAACTCTGTCAACTGCTTCTTGAAAGTAGGTTTAAGGTTATGGAAATGATGAGTTTTACCTTTATGAGACTAAACATATAAAGTAGATGATATCCGGTGCAATAAATAATAAACCAGAAGGAGTCATGCTATCACAATACATAATGTATAATTGATCTGATACTCTGCACTTACACTGATGTCATATAATAACATGTCATGTTAACCTACACCCAACAAATACAAAGAAATATAAGTATGAAAGTACATCTTTTGTTTACACTATATCTAACATATCAATGTGTCTTTTTATCATACTGAAAACTGACATAATAATTGACATTTGTTGAACATAATTCTTTTAGCTTTTTTCTAACAATGTGTGGGAATTTGTATTTTTAATCTGGAGCCTTCATTTTAATTTTTTTTTATATATATTTTTATGTATAGCTGAACCTTCTTTTCAGCTTTTTGCTGGCATTTTGTCAGAAATTAGCTTTTTAATCTTGATCCATCAATATTCATTACTTTGATTATTGTTGTTGACGATTCATTTCCTGCTTGGTTTTACTACTGTCTGATGTATTATTGTAGTTTTCCAAAAATATGTCAGCTAGCAATGTGCCTGTTTGTGCTTTTGTAATGTTTAGGTTGTATGTCAATGAAAATTCCTTAAATACTTGAAATAATTTTTCATTTTTTGTTGTTTTTTTTTCAGACGATACAAGAAGATGTTGCACTGTATCCATTTAGTGCTAACAAACTGTCAAACAGTGACAAATATTGAGATTGTCCAGCAAAAACTTGACAAAAGACTCTGGATAGTTGATGTGAACAAAATGTGTAATATTCAACCTGATCCCTCAACACAGAAGCATTCAGGTGGCACAAATACAAAGGGAGGTAACTCTAGGCATAAAGTGATACCTTCCTCTACATCTCTACGACCAGGTTCATCTGTGACCCAATCAGAAATAGAGTATTACAACATGAAGAGTCGTGATGCGGCTGATAAAATACCTCACTTACGAAACTATCAAGGTAAAAACAGAGAGAGCAGTGAAAGCATTCCAAATATCATTCCAAACCACAACAGAAAACAATTTCAACAATTTGGCACCAAGTTGGTGCGTCCGGACCAGCTGACTAGTCTGTCTAGACAAAACACACCCAGACTTGTTACATATATCAAATACAATGTGTTTCTAAATGGACAAAAGGAAGATTCTCAAGTGAAAGTTGATCACTTAGAATCCACTGATGTGGGTAGTATAGATTCAATATTAAAAGATGGACAACAGCCAGTGATGGTCCATCTTCTGTATATTGATACAAATAGCGAAACAGAGACAAAACAGTATTTGTCACTAGAGGACAGTCAGAGTGGAAGCTCTCCTTTAATTGGCAATCCTTTTATCATTTTATCCCTTATCTCAACTGTGATAACATTCATGCACAACTCATAAACCTCATAACCTCAGATCACTAATTCTCTCAAACCTGTCTACGGAGACCACTCAAGGGAGCAAGCAAAGAAAAAAAGGTCTTTATACACAGGTGGCCTTTATATAGAATTCCAATAAATATGAATTGCATTACATATGGGAACCAAAAGGTGGCCTTTATAGACAGGTGGCATTTGTTTAAAGGTGGCCATTACGACAGGTATGACAGTATTTTAAGTCACAACTGTATATCACAACTTTGTTTTTATCAAGCCTCGTAGACAAGAATATACAATGTTTTAGGATGGAAATACCACAATGAAATGTTTCTTGAAAGCTTTCTCTATTCATCCTCCAAAATGCTGAGGCCAGTACATGACCTGACTCAATGTCAGGTGGTGGGTTTATTACAGGACAATGTAGCAGTTCGAAGAAACAATTAGTGGGTTCATTACAGGACATAGGCTTTTTTGAGGTACCATATAAACAATGTTGTTTTACAAAATGAATGGAAATTTTTACTGGTTGTACGTCTCATTTGAACCAATTATTGTTAAAAGTTCCATTTGTCTGGATTATTTTTTTTTCCTCTCTTATTTCCAGTAAATATATTTTTCTATGTAAAATACAATCTGAAAAGTGTGAAATTTCTTTAAAATAAAAAAACACTTTTGGAATTGTCCAAACTATCTAACTTAATGATAGGGATGAAACAAATGCATATTCTATAACTTCTTCATATCTTATGATAATTTCCAAATCATTCAAAACCTGAAAACTTCAATTGCATGAAGATGAAAATAGCATCTTTTCTACCCAACTTTTAATTATTTTTTTTTCTTTAAAGAATAAGTTTTTATTGTCCAAATGAAACAAAGTAAAGACAGGAAGGGAGACAACCAAATGCTGATATTGATGGAAATTGATTAATAACATTGTATTTCATTTCTAACAAATAAATACATAACTTAAACATCATTTCCAATACCTACATATAATGAATTGCCATATATAGTTGATTAAAGCATATGTTCCCTTATATAAATTACTTTTCATAAATTATTTTTTGAAAATGTAACAACAAGAAAAACATGACATTTAAAATCGTTGTGTTTCTTACATTAAGTTCTATCAAAATATCAAGTCAATCTAATCCTAAGTAAAAACCAAATCTAGGTACTGAGGCTGAGCAAAGGAGATTTTATACAATCACTTCTCAAACATCATTTAATTCCTCATAATGTGTCATAACCCTGTGTTGGAGGTTAAAATATCAGCAGTCAATATCTTACATATGTAAAATATACAGTGAAAGTTACTATAGTTTCTCAAAGCAAGTGAAATTGAAAGGATCATCTTACATAAAGTACCAACTGAGGGATTAAGTGTTCAATGAAGATACATTATTAAGAGATCCTGACATCAGAAAGAAGTGGGATGTATTGTATTACAAGTTTCAGCATCACAAAATTTTCTTTAAACTTGCTTTACTTTATTGTTTTTGTTGATTACAAAGTGTTGACATTTTCCAATAAGTATATGTGTTTTATGTTACTACAAAAACTGTTATAATTTTGTATAATTCAATGTTTTTATTATTTGCATTTAGGGCATAAAGTATATTTGAACTAAATAGGGCCCATTTCATTTTTGAAGTATAATTTCAAAATAAAGAAGAATTTTACCCAAATCTTAAACGCTTGTTTTTCTTATGTTATTTTTACCCTCAGGAAGGACAGCAGTGTATAGCAGCATATCGGATACCTGTACACTGTACCAGGTAAATGACAGTGCACTACATGTATGTATCTAATATACACCAACTTACTTTCATGTACAATTTACTGACATGAATTTTGTGAATGAGCCAAAGCTCAAAAACATACCTACTACGAATATCATTCTGTTGTATGTATTATCATATCTGACAATGTATCTATATGGGAACAGTAAAATAGATAAATTTACATTTTCTGACTATGTGGGTACTGGAAAATAGATCAATTTACATTTGTGTGGTTTTGTATCTATGTGGGTACTGGAAAATAGATAAATTTGCATTTTCTGACTTTTTATCTATGTGGGTACTGAAAAATAGAAAAATTTACATTTGTCTCCTGCCAGGCTGTAGTGATTCCTGTATTAGAAATCTGAAGAGATGCTGGCATTCAATTCCAACTAGGTTGAAAATATTGGTCACAGTGTCCAGCATTTCATATCCTATAGTATCATTCATTATAATTTATCTAGCTCCTAATTTGTTAAACTATCAAATTTTAGTAATTAATGTCAAGTCTAGAATCAAAACGTTATACAGATGATGGATCGAAATGGCTGGCAGAAAAGACAAACTTAATCATAACTATCCACTACATTCTTCAGGAAGCATAAATAAGCTAAAAGTGATATGATGACAGCAGAGTTAATCACAATACTGTTGTTAAGTTTGCATGGATATCATCACCCTCTAGACCTACAGACAGCAATATCCTCATATCATCTTGATCTCAACAAAATAGTTCAGTACAGCACAAAACAATTTGGTAGTATGGTTTTGAAAGATGTACTGGCAGCAAGTCATGGGGAGATAACTCCCACTACAACAAGTGCCTTGGCTCAGACATTCAATGATAATACCTGGAAAGGTAGGCATTATTGTTCCACAAATAGTCTATTTGTGATTAAAAAGCCAAACTTTATAAACTAATTCATAATGCAGAACTATTCTAACAAAGGGTCACCAATGATACTTCTGCAAAACTGTTTTTTCATTTCTTATGTTCAAATTAAAAATATTTTCCCTCGCCATTGGAAAGAAGTGATATATGACAAAAACAATTCAATGAATAGTATGTTTCCACATATCCATTTGGAAAGAAAATCTACTGTAAGGTGTAAAATCTCATACCAATTTTTGACAAGCACTTACAGATGATATCTGTTTCATACTGATATAGAAAATCAGCTTTAAAAATTGCATTTATCAAAATATAACATTTTATGCCAATATACAGTCACCTTCAAAACTTGAGACTTTTCCATAGATTAGTTAAATCCTCTATCAAGTGACTATATTAAAAGGTTTGACAAAAAAAAAAGCAAAAAAAAAAAACTGTTACATCAGCTTTTACCTGCCACAAAACAAGCAGAAAGTTAGGTTCTTTCCTCCAGATATATGATGACAACTGTGATCCTATAAATGTACACAAACATTTTGTTTCAATATGCAACTTTCAACTGAAGGACAGCATGTTAGTTACTATATGTTTACTAACTGCTGGTGACACACAATAACTATAAACACAGTAAGAACAAGCTACAATATAGTCAAACTTACCCTGGCTTCCATGATTTCAGGAATGGCAGGAAGGAAGTCCTGTGTGATACAGCGACAAAGGTCACGCTCACATTTGATCTTACTTTCCTTAAATGACTCTGCAAGGGCATCCCAGTCCTCAAAATTCTTACAGATAAGGTGCCATCTTGGGTTAACCTCGGGTAGAGGTAGGCCCAGGGAGGCCACAGGTTTATTACTGTTGTTTTCATTAGTGTTCCCTTCCAATTCTGTTTTCTCTTTCACATCATTGTTTCCTGTCTCCATTGCACTGTCTGGGTTTTCATTCTTCGGCTCTTGTTCTGTTTTAGTTGCAATGTCTTCTGAAATACTCTCCCTTGAATCATCGTCATCTTTCATCACAATATCTCCATCATGGTTTTGGCTATTATAATAATACAAGATGGAGAGGAATTTAATGAAATTGTGATATCTTTTTCACTTCAATAATAAACACCTATGAGTACATTAAAAACCCAAATATATGAATGTTTAAAAGTGTATAATTGTCAAAAGATCAATACATAGTACTTTTATATATCTACAGGTGACACTACTCATATAAAACCTGTTTAACTAGTGATGGTTTTACTTTTGTGTTACCTTTATCATCCTTACAAAACAATCAGCCAAAACTATATTATTTTTTACCAATTGTAATTAAGATGATATATTGAAATCAATAAACAGCTTCCATTACCTTTCAGACTCTTCTTTAACGTCTTGTTCTTCTGCTTTAATTTCACATTTGTCACCATCTTCTTCTTTTTCACCTTTCATGTCCAATCTATTTTCACTTTCTTCTGCTACATCCTCTTCCTCTTTAATCTCTTTCTTGGTTTCATCAGTCTCTTTAACATCTTTTGTCTCATTTACATCCTCTGTCTTCATCTCTTCCTCTTCATCTTCCTCATCTTCATTGCTATCTTCTCCTTCTCCCTCTTCCTCGTCCTCAAAATTCTGTTCCTCAAGAGCCCTGAGTCGACTGCTAACCCGGGTAGAGGTACGAGAAGATGTGCGTGTAGCCTGCTTTGTTTCTTGCTTTGTTTTAGTCTTTGCTGTTCTGCCACTTTTTCTTCCACGCTTTTTACTTTTGCCCTTTGTTTTTTTATCTTTTTCCTTCGTCTTTTTTCTAACTCTGGAATAATATATATACCATATATATAAGACTAAGACAGCAGGACAGGGCGTTGGTTTTCTATGCCACTTAAAACAACAATAAAAGTATCATAGTTCCCATATAAGACAAAATATTTTGCACTATGTCAGCTACCAGCACAGTAGACAAAATAATATACTGATTGGAACTTTTTTTCAGGAGTTGTGTCTCTTCTTTTCTGATTTAAATTGTTAAAATGCAGTTATTTATTTAGTGGAATTGATATGCTTTAAGAAATTACTTTATAACTGAATATCTAGAAAAACTCCTTACAGAAATTTTAAAGTAATTAAATTTAGTTATATATACAAATATTTCCAGAAATATAATTTGAATAACAATTCAGCTTGATGTCACCCTTACATCTATATTAGTCATGTACTTTTTTTTTATTATTTGTCCATAACTGACTATTGAACCAGCACTGCAAAAAGTACACATCAATATATTTCAAAATACACAAGATAGAAATGCAATGTAATAGCAAAATAAGCAAAATAAGCAATTACCTAAAAGTTATCATAGAACGGAAATGAGTGGGAGTTAAATGCTTGAATTTCAAAGTATAATCATCTCTTTGTTAATTTCCATATATTACTGCCCAAAGACTTACACAAGGTAACAAAAGTTGTCTCCCTTCTCCACAACCAAAACACACAATTCTAGTATTTCTTCAGGAATTTTTCAACAAGTATTGCTTATTTTAAAATCACTTTTAATTTGAAGTGGTCATCTTTGTACTGAATCAATTGAACAATTTCACTTTCAAGTTTTCTTTCACAATAAATATCCAAAAACATGGTGGGAATTCTTCTTAATTTTCCCTGGGATGAGAGTATATTTTGACGTCTGTACAGGTACATTAAGATGATTGATGACTGCTTTAACTTACTTTTTTTCCTTGATTGGTTCCTCTATAACAGGTTCTGCATCTTCCTTGTAAAGTCGACTGCCATAGAAATACCAGTACGTGGCTCCAGTGCTGTCTTTACCTAAAGCCTCGACACGCATGTTATCTCCCTCAAACCCCTGTAACATGAATACAGTACTATAAAAAAAAACATCCACATTCATTTTGCTTCACTCTACAAACTGACTGTGATATCTAGGTAATTTCTTCACCTACATCTTATACAAGTACCAAACATTAAGGAATTTTTCACTTTTTTCAAAATCATCAGCCACTGCACAAAGTGATTAAAATATGACATTCAACTGCATCTTATTAGAAAATTTTATCTTATACACTACATTTGCTTAGAAAATTAAGTCTTAAACTACACACAGAATCCAATTCAATTTTCAGCAAACTTTTGTTAATGTCTATTTCTGACAACTTCAAAATCCAAACAGTGTATGATTAAGTAAGATTACTATGGTATTGTACTAGCTACAACTATGGTATGACAGTAGGCGAAAACAAGAACAAAATCTGATGACAAGTTCTCAATATATGATCATGATTCTTAACAGGTTGCGACATAAAAAGAAACAAAATGACAAACATGTGCAATACTTTGTATCTCTGTGTAAAACGAGGAAGCATAAAAACCAAGACTGTTGCAAATGGCTATTCTGACTTTCAATTGCAGTTTTCACTTAAAAAAAAAAAACCCATTTCTCTAAGCATTATATAAAATAAAATTAACAAGAACAGCAAGATTTGGGTGATATAGGGAAAGTGAAGACATTTCGATTTAGTCATATACATTGATATCTAGATTCTACCTTCAACTGGTCCATGACATCAAGAGAATCTAGTCTGGAATCACACAGATGCTGCAGGATCTCCACTTTCTGTCGTAAACCTATGTCCCTGAATCTTCTCCCTTCTAGAGGATTCTCTATCTTGAGCTCTACTGCCAATCCTTTCATTATATCATTCAGATAGATTTCAAAATTGTAGGGCCTGAAAATTAAAAAAGAAATATGAAGTTGAAGCATTATATGTCCAGCTCTTAAGAATATCTTATAAAAAGATTAAAATATAAATCTGTATATGATTTAATTAATTTTATTTTCCTTTCCTAGAACCTCTACACAAATTTTGATTCTGATACATCTATTCCCATCATTATGATTTCAATGCAATATCGAAGTATAAATAAAGGGGTAGTTATGTGATAGGTGTTATTACACTGATGACAGGGTAGTTATGTGATAGGTGTTATTACACTGATGACAGGGTAGTTATGTAATGGGTGTTATTACACTGATGACAGGGTAGTTATGTAATGGGTGTTATTACACTGATAACAGGGTAGTTATGTGATAGGTGTTATTACACTGATGACAGGGTAGTTATGTAATGGGTGTTATTACACTGATGACAGGGTAGTTATGTGATAGGTGTTATTACACTGATAACAAGGTTGTTATGTGATAGGTGTTATTGCACTGATGGCAGGGTAGTTATGTGATAGGTGTTATTACACTGATAACAAGGTTGTTATGTGATAGGTGTTATTGCACTGATGGCAGGGTAGTTATGTGATAGGTGTTATTGCACTGATGGCAGGGTAGTTATGTGATAGGTACTATTACACTGATAACAGGGTAGTTATGTGATAGGTGTTATTGCACTGATAACAGGGTAGTTACATGATAGGTGTTATTGCACTGATGGCAGGGTAGTTATGTGATAGGTACTATTACACTGATAACAGGGTAGTTATGTGATAGGTGTTATTGCACTGATAACAGGGTAGTTACATGATAGGTGTTATTGCACTGATGGCAGGGTAGTTATGTGATAGGTACTATTACACTGATAACAGGGTAGTTATGTAATGGGTGTTATTGCACTGATAACAGGGTAGTTATGTGATAGGTGTTATTACACTGATGACAGGGTAGTTATGTAATGGGTGTTATTGCACTGATAACAGGGTAGTTATGTGATAGGTACTATTACACTGATAACAGGGTAGTTATGTAATGGGTGTTATTGCACTGATAACAGGGTAGTTATGTGATAGGTGTTATTGCACTGATAACAGGGTAGTTATGTGATAGGTGTTATTACACTGATGACAGGGTAGTTATGTGATAGGTGTTATTACATTGTTAACAGGGTAGTTAAGTAATAGGTGTTATTGCACTGATGGCAGGGTAGTTATGTGATAGGTACTATTACACTGATAACAGGGTAGTTATGTGATAGGTGTTATTACACTGATAATAGGGTAGTTATGTGATAGGTGTTATTGCACTGATAACAGGGTAGTTATGTGATAGGTGTTATTACACTGTAACAAGGTTGTTATGTGATAGGTGTTATTACACTGATAACAGGGTAGAAAAGTAATAGGTGTTATTACACTGAAAACAAGGTAGTTATGTAAGAGATGTTATTACACTGATAACAGGGTAGTTAGGTAATAGGTGTTATTACACTGATAACAGGGTAGTTAAGTAATAGGTGTTATAATACTGATAACAAGGTTGTTATGTAATAGGTGTTATTACATTGATAACATGGTAATTATATAATAGGTGTTATTACACTGATAACAAGGTTGTTATGTAATGGATGTTATTACACTGATAACAGGGTAGTTAGGTAATAGGTGTTATTACACTGATAACAGGGTAGTTATGTAATGGGTGTTATTACAGTGATAACATGGTAGTTATGTGATAGGTGTTATTACACTGATAACAGGGTAGTTATGTAAGAGGTGTTATTACACTGATAACAGGGTAGTTATGTGATAGGTGTTATAATATTGATAACAAGGTTGCTATGTAATAGGTGTTATTACATTGATAACAGGGTAGTTATGTGATAGGTGTTATTACACTGATAACAGGGCAGTTAAGTAATAGGTACTATTACACTGATAACAGGGTAGTTATGTAATAGGTGTTATTACACTGATAACAGGGTAGTTATGTGATAGGTGTTATTACACTGATAACAGGGTAGTTATGTAAGAGGTGTTATTACACTGATAACAGGGTAGTTATGTGATAGGTACTATTACACTGATAACAGGGTAGTTATGTAAGAGGTGTTATTACACTGATAACAGGGTACTTATGTGATAGGTGTTATAATATTGATAACAAGGTTGCTATGTAATAGGTGTTATTACATTGATAACAGGGTAGTTATATAATAGGTGTTATTACACTGATAACAGGGTAGTTAAGTAATAGGTACTATTACACTGATAACAGGGTAGTTAGGTAATATTTGTTATTATACTGATAACAGGGTAGTTAGGTAATAGGTGTTATTACATCGATAACAGGGTAGTTAAGTAATAGGTACTATTACACTGATAACAGGGTAGTTAGGTAATATGTGTTATTATACTGATAACAGGGTAGTTAGGTAATAGGTGTTATAATACTGATAACAGTGTAGTTAAGTAATAGGTGTTATTATACTGATAACAGGGTAGTTAGGTAATAAGTGTTATCATACTGATAATAAGGTTGTTATGTGATAGGTGTTATTACACTGATAACAAGGTAGTTACATAATGGATGTTATTACACTGATAATTGGGTAGTTAAGTGATAGGTATTATTACAATGATGACAGGGTAGTTTTGTGTAACCCTGGTAAAACACTAGCCACTTCTGTTACATTGGCACCCATGTAGGGACCCGGGAATAGTACTTAGCCATGCCCCACCAGCATTGCTGTAACCCTTGAAAACTTGAGGACTCGTTATTTCCTGGAGGGGGAGTATGTAACCCTGGTTAAATACTAGCCGCAATATACCACTCGGTTAGAGAGAAATTCTCTTTAGCTTGATTGGTTGAGTGTCAGACTAGTAAGCCAGGGGTCCCGGGTTCAATTCCTAGTGGAGGCATTGAAATAAATAATGACCTCTGTTATGTATGTAATGGTTACTATTACACTGATAACAGGGTAGTTATGTAATAGGTATTATTTTACAGATAACAAGGTGGTTATATAATGGTTGTTAATAAACAGATAACAGGGTAATTATGTGACAGATATGTATTTTGTCACTGTTTAATGTCAGCTTACTCGATATCATCCCGGCCGTAGCATCCCTGTAGGAGTCGGCAGAACAGGTCCTCAAGAAATGGACTGCCTTCTTCACTGGCTGCAGCAAGAAATCCATCTTCAAGGTCCTGGATTGGTAAATATATATTTACAAGTACAAAAAGTCATATGTATACATGATTTTAATGGAACAATAAGTGAATGTTTTTAATAACATCTCATAAAATTGTCCATCAGATCAAAGTTGATATATACTATATATGAACAATTCATATCAAGGTATTGACCAATTTTAACATTTCTTGATGTTTTGTTATTAAAAAAATCCTGACTGGTTACTTTTAGAATTTCAAATCATTCATTACAAACTTGTTTTGAACATACCTACTTAGTTTTGTTAAAGCTGAATTCTGAACAAAGTGAATGAGAGTCTTACATGCTATACTGATTGGTACAATTGAAATAAAAGAGAGCTTTTTAAATATAGATTTTTTTCTTATAATTCTTACATTACATACGTTTCTTCTATACAACTATTAGTCTGATGCTGGCATAGAAGGATTGTGGATTGTTTTATCCTGATTCTCAATATGAAAAAAGTGATTTCTTGGTTGCTATATGGATTGTGCTGAATGTTATGATAGCTATCTGCACTGTTAAAATTACCATTGTCAGACACTGTCAGCAATGCAAAGGCTCACTATTTGCTAAGGGTCTGAGTTGATTTTTCAATGGTCTGGGATTTTACAACTTGAATGAGGTAAGAGTCTATGTCAACAAATATTCATATTGGTGATTCAATGAGCTGGCTTAGAAGAGCATTATTTACTCTTTTAATACTACTTTTAATAAATGTATCCTTTTTTTTCTTTTCAATTCAGGTCTAGATAGTAGGGGTATCATGCTTCAGATTTTTGGGTTCAGTAATTTTCGTTTATTCCGGCAACTTTGATATCACTGCATTTTCAGGAGGGAACATTTGAATACTGAATAATTTCCTTTTTGTAAACTATGTAGTTCGCCTTAACCATCATCTCGCTTTTTTATTTTTCATCCAATGTAAATCTGTTGTCAATGGTTTGAATCAGGTTTAATCGTCCATTTAAAAATTGTTTGGTTTTTGTTCCTAGGTTAAGTTAAAATTTTGATATTTTTAGCAAAATAAACGCCTAAAAAATGTGGTCATTGCTCACCTAATAGAATATAGTAAAACTTTTCATGGTCTCATATATATAGACATTGCTCTCATTTCTGCTTTCTTAATCATACTGCACAATTGAGTGTCCAGCTTGACCATGAGGGTACTTTCCTAGCAACTGCCTAATCTTAAGCTTTATGAAGAACAGTGTATACCCAAAATGAACTACATAAGCAAAACAAATAGTGATATGTGGGACAGTAGTGACACTGTGAATTTGATTAAACTTTATCGTAAACATTGCACAGATATGTATTTCCTTCATCAGCTATATAATTTGGCATTTTTCAGCGGTTACCACCCTTAAATATGATATCTTAAAAAAGTTGGGTTGGTTCAGGTGTGGAAAACAGTATTCTTATTTAAATTCAAATGCTAGTAAAACAGCGCATTATCAGCTAGAATTTGATATATATAAATGCATCATACTAATGACAATATTCAACAAGCTGACTACCAATGGTAAAACTTGGAGAAAAAAAATTTAAACAGACTTATGAAAGGTGAATCAGTGGCAGATCCTGCTGTAAGATCGCTTATTTTGGAGGAGGGGCTTAATTCCAGGCAGTAATAAGAACGGCATTGTATTAAGGGGTATAAGGGGACAAAGTATCAAACTATAAATGATGTACATTATAATTTCAAACCGTTAAAATTACAAAGGATAATGTCACTTTAACTTATGGTCATGTTATTTATACACAATAAATTGATTAGAATACCCAAAATGTCATTACCACTTGCACATTCAAAGGGGAGTAACTCTCATTATGTGAAAAGAATTCTGTATCATCCATCAACAGAAAATTATCAACAGTGGTTTGCGTAATATACCACTTTCTCAAAACATATTTCAATTCAATTAATGACAGTTCCAAAATGAGTATAATGAATATTTCATGGTATATGAAACATATAACAATAATTAAAATATTGACACTGTGTAATATTATACACAGCTGAACAGAAACCTTTTTCTGCAATGCAATTGAACATCAAAAAAATCATATGGAATATGTCAATGCGTACAAATTAATAATCTAAATGCAAACATAGGTCACATTTTGAAAATGTATAACTTAGAAAAGTAATCAACTTCTCTGAACCAATATCTTTTTCATTTTTTATGTTTCACAAAAAAAATGCATATTAAAACATCAGTAGTGCTCTCTATCAAATTATGAAGCTGCTCGTACCCCAGAAGTTTTCCATTTGCAGTTATGAAATGTTCAAATATCAAATATCCACATGTTAATGACCATTGTCTGTAAATCAATGTATCCCAAATCACAACAATGACGTGGACATTTGTGGGTCCTAAAATCACATGTAGAAACCATTAAGGAATGATATCAGTATTTTAGAGTTGTATCACGTTTACAATATAATATTACCTCTATGTCGAAGTCTGGTAGTTGGAAAGCAGCTCGGAACAGCGAGCAGAAATGTGCGATGCTGGGAATCTCCCACCATGACCGTAGAGCTGAAAAAAATATTGACGGTAAATTTCTGATTCTTTTAAGATTTTGGAATAGAAATGCTAATCCAAATACAAGAAAGCATGGTGAATACGCCGATATGAACAACGATAAACACACTAATTATCATTTACCGTCCATTTGCATGCGTTGTTCCTATCCCGATATCGAAAGCAGGATTCCGTTCAAACACTCGCAACTACGATCATGCCCGAAGCCGGCTACTTCCGGTTTGGATGACAATCATCAGTAGTGGGTGTATATTGAGAAGTCTCTCATTAATTGCTTGGTTGTAAACTATGAATACAAACCCAAAGACATTTGAGTGTCGCATTTAAATAACCAAAAGCTATACTATCAGATTGAAAATATCCTTTAAGCTGCAAACACTGCAGCTTGCTTGTTATCCCGTCGGATGTCTTCGGTTTCAAACGGAATTCTGGGTAATCAATTAAGAAAAATGGCGGACGAAGAAAGATTGCAGACAACAGTGTTTTGGTGTGTTAATTTTCGTCATAATTGATGTGTTAGGGATGTTGCTTTTGAGTTTGTATACTATTTCATGAGACTTTGATTATTTAAAGCACAGAACGCAACCGGTTATATTCATTCTGATCAATCTACTGAGCTAGCCGCTACCTTCCTCCTGTTGATTCTTCACATAGACGTCTCGGCACTTGTCATGTTTGCATAGGATTGAATATAGCTCGTGTGTTAAGTGATTATTGATCTTCAGAACAGTGAACAGATACATGTACACGATAAGTAGACGAGGAAATTAATTTAACTAAGTTGCATAATGGTATATCGTGATGTCGTCAGTGTTGCATTCCCGAAATGCAAGATGATGCGTCCTCCTCATCATCTATATCCAGCAGCTTTTAAGGATCAGCTCGAGTAAAGTAAAGCGATATTATGCAATGGAAAAGATTGAGAATGCCAGAATACCTCACCGAGACATTTAACATCACTTAGTTTGCTACCATTCTTCTGACCATGGACGATTTTGGTTTATTATCAGTGTTGCTAACCGTTGGTCAATCATGGCCATTTGAAATCCGTGTGACAGGATGTTATAAAAGCTCATGAAGGAAAAGACCTTAAAATGAATTATATTGTATAGTTGTTACAAGTGTATACATTAATATGTTCTAAGTGATGATATGTTTGAATATCGTATTGACTTATTGAATTCAAGAAATGATTTTTGACTTTTTTTAAATGCTAATTACAAGTATCAGGCCATTATAACATTTTTGACCATTTGCATAATCAGGTTGACCTGACGAATTCAGGTGATTCTGTGATAATAAATTGTTTAATTCGAAAGGTTCTGATTATTCATACACAATGTTATTTTCAATTTGTTCCTGGTCGATAGCGAGTATTTCTCACTTTTAATTTTACACACTTGTACATGACTTTGCATTCCATCAGTGCTTTATATAATCAAGTTTACAACTGAAAGATGTATTAGTGATACAAAGATGGAAATATGTAATATTTCTCTAGTAATAATTAATGTACGAAAGTGGCAAAGCCATTGACTTTTGTTAAGTAAACCTATCAACATAATTTTTTCTAGCAACTAGAGTATCGGCAAAATTTTGATTTTGGCCATTAATCTTGTATGAGTTTATTTCCCGGTAGGTTTGAATGACGGATCTCGCAAGATTTTGTGGCTACAGTATTATGAAAATGTTCTTGAAACTAAGGATGTCAAAAATAAAATCATAGATAGATGATAAAGGATGTAGGATACAGGCTTCTACATAATACTAACTCCTTTGCATAAGCAAGTACAGACATTTTATTAGTTGTTGCATTGTTTCTAATTTCCATTATACATATTGTTATTTTCTAGGTTGACATGACCTAGTGAGAAGATGGACCCCAATCAGTGGCGGAACTATAACCAAGCATATGGTCACATTGGCCATAGCAGTGGGTTATCACCAACGGCAGCCAATTTTAACCGTTGTGATCTTCCACTCCTAAATGCAGATCCAGGTCTTGGAACAGGTATAAACATAAGCATCTACAGGAAGTATTTTCTCACTATCAGATTTCAACCAAATTGGGTGTACAGCACTCCACACTCTTTCTTTAAGGCTCTGGATCACAATATGTTATTTTCAGCAGTGGCCTGTCCTTATGAAATCTTACCTGGAACACTGCATTATCCACAGCGACTAGTGCATCTCAAACCTGTGTTATAGAGAAAGTGGTCTTTAGCTCTTGTAGTGACAGTCATACAGTCTGCACATTAGTTTACATGGTGACAGAGGCCTCCTGTTTTACCTTGTCTGGAAAGACTGGAAAAGAAAAAGGTTCAAAATAACAAAGCTTGAACATGTTAATAAAACACGACAAACAGAAAACCAACTTTGGTGAGATTATTGGACTCTGGGTATGCTAGAGAAATCTAAATCCTAAATGTCAAGTACCTGACAAGTCCTCCATTGTCAAAAAAGAGTATTGCCCCCTTGGATGGGTAATGAATATGGTAATTCCTTATATGTGTTAGATGACATGTCCTTTGCTTTTATCTAGGTTTATGTTTAATATTAGTGTAAAACCCTATAAAACTGGTATATTCATAATTATTATTGTTATAAAATTATTTGTTTCAGGACTTGGACTTAGCCCGTCACTGCAGTCACATCCGTCAAGCATGTCCTCAGGCAGGTCAATTGGTGGACTTGGGGCGGTACCTTCCAACTACCCACACTCACTTCACAATACCATGTCTCCGTTCCTAGATGCAGTCAATCCACTTCCTTCAGCTTTTCCAGCACAAAGTCCGTACAAAAGCCTTGGTCAGTCATCATTTGGGATAGAAGCTTCAACGCTGAGGTCACCTGACTCACCAAGTCTCTATGGCTTTACATCTGTTGCAGATACAAGATCCCACTCGAAGTCACTCTATGCTCAGGACACACTGTTGTCAAAGGAACAACAGATAAGCTACGGTTTGTCCTCATCTCTCAGTCCATTAAGCAGCATTGAAAAGTCATCAAAGTCTGCTAGCTGGAATCTGTCGAACTTTGTGCCCAATCCATCAAATCCTTTCGGAAATTTGAATACTGATGTTCCGTCCTCTCTGTCGGAATTAGCTGGACCTCCTCCTGCTCACAGTGGCAATACTGCCACCTCCAGACATAGCACCATTCAGAGAAACCACTTTGCTCCAGACCTGTTTTCACATGCACCATTGAACAGCAAATCATCCCGAAGCTATTCCCTGGATAAGCCTCCTGATGAGCTGTTGTTGACCAACCCAACTCTTCAATTACCACGAGGAGGACTCGGTGAATCACTCTTTACTTCCCCCACACAACATGGCATTGAAAACCTTACCAAACCCTCAACTCAACATAACAGTATTTTTGGGTTCGTACCCAGCTCTTCTGCAGCATTGAAGTCAGAAATTGCATCAAATTATCAACAGCAATTGTCATCTGATATCACCTATGATCCTGTTAGTCCGCCAACACCACTTTCAGATGGAGGCCAACAGCAAAATGATTCATACAATGTGGGACTCCATGACATCAGTCCTTTGAGTCACTCACAACACGGATTAATGCCACAGAAACAGAAAGAGAGATTAGCACAAGACTCTCATCAAGTGATAATGCATGCCCATTCGGGGAAATCAGGAAGTGTACAGAACATTCCTATGGAGCTGAATAAAAATCCAAACCAAATGTCAAACAGCCCAATGCAGCAGTCTCCCATCAGCGTCGGTGGGAGTCCACACATGTCTGTACCAATGAGTTCACCACAAACTCCAATGCCTAGCTCGACTGTTGTTCAAGCACCCCCTCCAATACAAGCAGTGGCCGACTCAACCACAAAACCCAAGAGAGTGCGTTCTCGAAAGAAAAAGGTTTCAGTTGATCAGGAGAATGGACAAAAATTTTCCCCAGAGGGTCTGCCCCCTCACATGGTCAATCAACATGGGGATATGATGGGTATGCCCCTCTCCATGTCTAATTCAGGTCATTTGATGGGTATGGGGAGTCAGAACTTTAACCAGACTAATCCCTACAGTCCCCAGAAGTCTCAACCATATAGCCCTCACACTCATCCCCAGTACAGCCCCAAAAAGACCCAAGCTGTAAGTCCCCAATCATTCAGCCCTCATATCGCGTCTCAGGCCATGGTGGACAAGGTGTACAACCACCAGCAATCTCCAGCCATGGATGAGCAATTCTCCATGCAACATTCAGCTAGCTTATCATCTCAAAACCAAATGTCACTGCCATCCAATTCAAACCATATGTCATTAATGTCAGACAGTGTGATACACAGTGGTGGACAGGGTTCTGTTATCCATAATATGGCAGGAGAGACCATTCAGCAGTCCCTTCAGTCACAGGGGGCCACTCCCAGCCCCCCAGAACAGCAACGGGGCCATATGACGGTTAACTCATTATCAATGTCAGACATGGCATCCACGCCAATGGCTGAAGCATTAGTTGGAAATAATACTAATTACAACTTTAGCAGTGTGCCCGGGCAGTCATTTGTGGAACAGTTACAATCCGATTCAAATATTGACCATTTAAATAAATCACCAATGGCCGACCCAATGTCCATTGGTCAGATGGACCTACAGAATCAACAAGGAACATACGTCTCTCCACAGCAGCAACAAAATCCTGGGTACATGCCATCTCAGCCAGGAGGCTATGTATCACAGCAGCCCAACAGTATTTACACAGATTTGGATAATTATAATAACCAATATGAAAATGCTCACAGTAGTCTTACTTCTCCTTCAATGGGATATGAAAACTCCCCACATCCCAACAACACCTCTACAATTGATGAGGATGCTCTGTCGAGCTTGATTGGAAATCCTACATTACGAGATACCTCCCCAATTAAGGAGCTGTCGCCGGAGTACTGGAGACATCCGACAAAGGCAGAACAAAAACTTATGCCAACAAGAACTGTGACTAGCCAAATAGAATTTGATGATGATTTTGCACACTTATCAAAACCACCTGATTGTGAAAATAAGGACAAAAAACCAAATATTAAGCAATTATCAAATCCCCACTCGATGTTAAATCCCTCCATGCAAGCTATTAACTCTGGATCTGTTCAAATAAAACCAGAGCAAAATATGGTAGTGAAAAAGCCAACTTCAAACAACAGTTCCTTTATGGACTCCTTCCTTAGTTTTATTCAAGGCAAAAAACCTGAGACTTTGTCAAGTTTAAATACATCTCATGTTAAAAAGCCGGAGTTACCAAAATATATCCCAGAACCTCGGCGTCCACGTCCAGTTGAATCTTCGGACAGTGCTGCCAGTACTCCCAGACCTGATACTGACAATAAATCAGAGTTTAGTTCAAACACAGGAATCAATTCACCGTCAACATCACAAAATGACGACACTGTCAACTCAAATCTAGCTTTTTCAGATGATGATGATGAAGGTAGTGCTAACCTCACCAGTACTGTGGAAAATGTGTTGTCAAATCTAAATGAGGATGGCAGCAGAAAGGAGGGTATCAAAATGAGAATTAGTTTTTCAAAAATTACAGGTGGTGGGAAAAGAAAGACTAGTAAATCAAGTGCAAAAGTGTTGTCTGGATCACACAGAGGAAAAAGATCCATGTCAAACAAACGTTTTAGTGATAATGACGCTTTGGCTTCCTCTGGAGATGAGGATTACACTGTGGGTTCTTCTGAGGAAGAAGCTGTGATGAGGGAAGAGAGAGCACCAACACCTCCACCCCCTGAGCCAACCAGGCATGTTTCCTCTCGTAGGGCAAAGGACAAAGGACGCAGTAAGTATGTCAGCAGTCCTGAAAATAAGTCTGGTAGTCGGCAGAGAATGCACTGTAGCATCTTTGTTTATCACTGTCTTTCAAAACATGAATGCTAATGCATGTACCAGAATAGGAATCTGTAATTTAAAAAAAAATTGAAATTTATCAAGAAAAGAAAAAGTGGAACCTATGAAACAAAAAATTTTCAAAGAAAGCCAAATCTGTAAAGGCAACTCTAGGCATCCACACAAGGTAGCTCCGAATAATTGATCTTGTTATGTTACAGAAGTATACAAAGACTCTAGTGATAGTGATGCCTCTCTAGATTTCCCTGGTCCAATATCTAAGACTGATAGTGATGCTGAGTATGACTCGGACAAAGACCCTGCCTGGACTCCATTTGCTGTGGTAATACATAACTTTTGGAATTTTTATGGTGCTGCATCAAGTGACTTTGAAAATAAACTGAGCATGAATTAGGAAAACTATTTCACCTTATTAAAATTTAGGAGATTGATTAACTTTGTCTGAAATGTCTGAGAAAGTAACTTGAAGATATTGTATCAAAGACATCAAAGGAAGATTTCTGAAATTCCTGATTTTGGATTTGACACAATAATTACCTGAGAGTAAGAAAAGTCAAATAAGTATAACAATTTGTTGTATTTCTGTTGATTTAGGTTAGTAAATATGAAAACTGTTGGTCATTTTGTTAATTTAATGATTTATTTTGGAAATTAAATGTCTTTGAATGCATAACCATTTGTGATTGCCATTACAGGATAACAAGCGACAACCATCATATGATGCACTAGATTACCGGGGAGCACCTTTACCTAGAAAAGGACGTCACAAAAGTGGACGAGGAAAAGGGTATGTTGTCATTATTCCACTTTAAAGAAATCTCTTTTTAATAAATTTTTTAACAAATGATTTTAAAATAGCTATTGTACATTTGAAACAAAGTAACTGCAATTCATATCGCAGTAGTTCTCTTTTTCTAGTGTTTGTTGTTATAAGATTATTCATTACCCATTCATTTTAAAAAAAATGCATTCTAAACTGTGAACAAAATAACTTTTCTGGTTTTTTTTGCCTTGACACTTTCATTTAAATCCACATTGGAGCAGGTGTTAGATAATTCCAAAAGTCACACCAATGTTTTTATACTTCCCGAAGATTTTAGATTTTATTTTGCCGCCTTGTTCATCTGTGTTTCTGTCCATTCTTTCATGTCTGGAGCATAACTTTGCCCACAGTTAAGTAAGGATCAGGGCCCTTGACCCCTATATTATAGAGTTACTGCCCTTTGTAAATTTTTGTATGCAGAGCATTGCTTTGCTTGCATTTAAACTAGGATAATGAAACTTTGTGGATACATTGATCATATTAAGACATGCAGTATACAAAATTCAGGGCTTTTGACTAATCAATTACAAAGTTATCACCCTATTGTTTTTAGGCCAACCATCATCAGATGGTGGACTATTCAAATCGTTCTGTGTCCATGGTCCGTCCATTGTTTGTCAGTTCATAAACCATCTTTGTTATCACTATTTCTTGAGAAGTCCTGGATGGACCTTTCTCAAATTGCATATATAGGTTGCCCTTGGTCCCTTGTTGTGATGGTGTTGATTTTGGGACTGAAAAAACAGGTAGCCATCTTGGATTTTTTCAATGCAGATTGTTATGGCTGTTTTTTGAAAGGTAAGGGATGAATCTCTCTCAAATTTCATATGATGACAGATCAGAAAAAGAAAATGGCTGAATGGTGGCCATCTTGGATTTTCACTTTGTTATCGCTATTTCTTGAGAAGTTCTGGATGGATCTTTCTTAGATTTCTTATGTAGGTTCCCCTTGATCCCTAGTTGTGCTTCTTTGATTTTGGATCTGATCAGAAAAACAAAATGGTGGACATCCAACCATCTTGGATTTTTACTTCAAAAGTTCGTGATCACTATTTCTTGAGAACTACTGTATAGATCTTTTTCAAATTTCATGTATAGGGATCTTTAGGTCCCTTCTTGTGCCTATTTGAGTTTGGGACTGATCAAAAATCAAAATGGCTGACAGACAGCCATCTTGGATTTTGCCTGGTAAAGATTGTTATTTCTGAAGAAGTACTGAATGAATATCTCTCAAATTTCATACGTATGTTTCCATTGGTCTCTGCTTGTGCTGGTTTGCTTTTGAGACTGATCAGAAGAAACAAAATGGCTTCCAGGTGGCCATTTTGGATTTGGCAGGTAAAGATTATAATTAATTTCTGCAAAGGAATGTTCAAATGTCTTATCATGAAGAGCAAAAACAGAGGAGAGACGAGGAAAGAAGGGATTTCCTGTGCGGGTGATGATTTTGTCCACGGTTCAGCAAGGATCATAAACTAAGTGTATACATTGATTATTTTAAGATAATGTGTTGTGTACCAAATTCAGGGCCCTCCAGTGCACAATAACAGTTATTGCCCTCTTTATATATATCTTGTTCAGAACAAAACTTTGCTTGCATTTAAGGTAGTATAATGAAACTTGATGCATACATCGATCTTACAAAGGCAATTTGCAGTGTACCAATGTCACAGCCCACAACCCCTTACAGAGTTATTGCTGTTTGTTAAAATTCTGTGTCATGAGCATAGCTTTGCTTGCATTAAAGAAGGATCATGAAACTTGGTGTATACAGATAATTACAAAATTATTGCCCTTTGTTAAAAAAATATGTCTAATTAAGTCATTTTCAGGGAGTATTCTTGTTTCATTGTAGACAATATTTATCAAAAATTCTTCGTGTCCAACATAAAATGTGCCATACTCCAGGCTTTAGGCAAGGGATATTATGATATATATAATAATAAATAGTCAGTTGATGAAACCATGTGATGTATTCATTGAAGACAAATGCTGAACTTCATGTTTGTTAACTGTTGTAGGCGAGGGAAGGTGGTTGGTAAGCGACTGAGTGATCAAGCACCTACATCTCGACCCTTAAAGACACAAAAGATTAATGACTTGAAGCAAGAGACTAATAATACCACTTGTGCAATGGAACATATGTCCGAATCTGATACAATCCTTCATCTGGAGCTTAAAAAGGAAGGTTATGAGGTAACCCTGATAGTCTGTTCATTTACTACTTTGTCTGATGTCATAAGTTCTGACAGCTTTCAGCTGATGTCAGATAACATTAAGTAGTGTTAACATAATAGTATCATTCTATAAAGATTTATTGTGCTGTATAAATTCAAACTTTCACCAGTACATCTATATAAACGCAGTCTGTCCATATACAGTTCATGGATTGAGCACCATTTGTGTCATGATAGATGTCATAAAATTATTTAAAATTGTATCTGAATTCACAAGGCCTTTGTTTTAAAGGCAGGTTGCTTTATTTCTTGGTTTTCTATATAACAAACTCTGTTGTTTGCATCATTGCTGTTGAAAAAGAAAAGTAAGTATGTGTGTGTTTGAAAAACAAATTTTAATTTATTTACAATGTCATTTGCTTTGCTTTTAAATTACAGGTAGGAGATTTCATCTTGGACAAAAGAGACCTCAACAAATTTGAAAACTTTCCCATCTGGAAGATAGACTCTGGAAAATTAATCCGCAAATATGAGTTAATCACAGAAGAAGGTCAAATGCGACACAGAGCTATGTGTACTGTAAGCATGTTTAAAGAAGTTCTTCACTTTTATAGATTATTTTGATGACATTTGTTAAGTCTTAAGTTTTCTTGTTGATATTTCCTGACAAACATCAAATCTTTAAAGTTATAGATGAATGAATGTTTAATTAAAAAAAACCATGTTCAAAGTTTAAGATTTCTTCATAACAAATGTCTTGTTATAGAGTAGTGAAGGAACTTTGATAGGAATCCATGTTAGGAAGGAATTTTAATTGTCACATTAAGGTCACAATGATTGTTGTTAAGGTCAGCGCTTTTAGCTTTTAACTTAAATCGTTAAAGTTGAATAACTTCATCATAGGTTTTGAGGGCTACTGGATCAAAGATTGCAGTCTGTGTTCCTATTAAGTGGTATCGACATTAAGAAACATAATAGCTAAAATGATGCACAACTTTCTAGTCTGAGTTTACGATTAATAAAATTTTGAATTTACCTGAACATGTTTTTCTTAACTAGACACTCCCCTGAAAAAAGTTTTTTTGACTGATACACATTGATCTTCATTTACAAAAACCAAAGTAACTAGTGTTCAGATTTCCAGTGGGCACAGTTGTTACAGAAAGTTTTAGTCTGTCATTTCCAGTTGGCACAGTTGTTACAGAAAGCTTTAGTCTGTCGTTTCCAGTTGGAACAGTTGTTACAGAAAGCTTGAGTCTGTCATTTCCAGTTGGCACAGTTATTACAGAAAGCTTTAGTCTGTCATTTCCAGTTGGCACAGTTGTTACAGAAAGTTTTAGTCTGTCATTTCCAGTTCACACAGTTGTTACAGAAAGTTTTAGTCTGTCATTTCCAGTTGGCACAGTTGTTACAGAAAGTTTTAGTCTGTCATTTCCAGTTGGCACAGTTGTTACAGAAAGTTTTAATCTGTCATTTCCAGTTCACACAGTTGTTACAGAAAGTTTTAGTCTGTCATTTCCAGTTCACACAGTTGTTACAGAAAGTTTTAATCTGTCATTTCCAGTTCACACAGTTGTTACAGAAAGCTTTAGTCTGTCATTTCCAGTTCACACAGTTGTTACAGAAAGTTTTAGTCTGTCATTTCCAGTTGGCACAGTTGTTACAGAAAGTTTTAGTCTGTCATTTCCAGTTGGCACAGTTGTTACAAAAAGTTTTAATCTGTCATTTCCAGTTGACACAGTTGTTACAGGAAGTTTTAGTCTTTCATTCCTAGTAGGCACAGATGTTAAGGGAATCAACTGGCCTTACTGCCAGATGCATTAATTGATTTGTCTTTGTTTCAGTTTTCTAGCTGGGTGCCTATTATGCAAAAGGATTACCTTCCTATAAGAACCACATATGTGAGGACAGATAAAGACAAGGAGGTAGTGGAAGTCTCCGAGGCGGACAGACCAACACCCAAGTTGGACAGCTAGTACGTGAAAACAAGGAATTCTGAAGTTTTGAAATTTTTTTAATTTAAAGTCGCACAGACTTGGTTATTTCTGCTCATTATCATATCTGTAAGAAGAAACAAAGTGTTACATTGTACATCCTCAATACTAGAGGGGTTACCCTCACTGTCACTTTCTACACCTCTGGAACATTACCTGGCAAAACTGAGTGTTACATGTGTGACACCTTGTGGATGAGAGGAGATGACTAGTTTGATCCTTTGATGTACATTAAATACATCTCCGGGTGACATAACAGTATGTTGTACTTGCTTTGAAGTCAGGCGTAGATCCTCATTGTTCAAAGAAGCATGTCAGTTTGTGATTGGTCAGTTTTTTCTCATGAAACCTGCTCTAGACCAATCAGATTACTTGCTTGTGCCTTCAGTTTTGCTGGGAAATGTTCCAGTGAGGCAGAGCAAAAGCGATTGAAACTCCTGGAGTATCAAGGATGACATTGTGTACTTCAGAATTTAACTGTCTTGTTATGGGTTTTATCATAAATAACTTAACAAGTAAATTCAACTCTTCCCATTTACATTCCTTAATCATGTCGCGGTCTTATGACAATTATAGATGAATAATTCACTATTGACAGTGTAATGTATCAATTGAAACAACCATTTTGTGCTGTCGCTGTTTCTATGCTAATAATGATGACATCATAATAGTCTGTGCTGTAGAGTGGCTATGTTGTGCTAATAATTTTGGACAAAATTCTTCATGAGTTACCAGAGAGAATGTAAGTCTCCATTTGCCTTTCAGTTTAGAGCATGCGTATGAAGAGGATCCCTTGGCTGACCTTTTCAACGTTTACCTCCAGATATTTCTCAGCCAAGCTCTAGAGCCAGGATTTCTCAGTGCAATTGGGGAAGGGGAAGGTATGTATGAGTTTTAATCTTATTTTTATCTCATCTGGCCAAAAAAGGGCCAAGTGAGCTATAGGGACATCACAGTGCCCGTCAACCGTCATATGTTATCTGTCAACTTTTTTTACAAAATGCTACTTGTCATGAAGGACTGAGGGGATTTTTACCAAATTCAGTCAGAATCATCCTTAGGGGATATTTATAAATGTGTTATATAAATTGTATAAATAGTGTGTTCCGGCCCCCAACCCAAGGGCATGAGGAGCAGGGCCCAAAAGGTGAAATTTAGCAAGTCCTTTAAAATCCTACTCCTCTTGTAGGAATGATTGGATTTTGTCCAAATTTGGTCTGAATCATGTTTAGGTGAAGAGGAATCAATTTTGTTTAAACGATGGGTCTCAGTCCCCTGGGGCAGAAGGGGCAGGGCCCAATATGGGAAATAGAGCAAATTCTAAAATTCCTCCTCCTGTAGGAATGATTGGATTTTGGCCAAATTTGGTGTGGTTAAAGGGAATCAATTTTATATAATGGTGGATCTCACTCCCCCAACCCTAGACAGGAGAGGCTTAATAGGAGAAATGTGTTTGAAAACAGTTTAGATCCCCACCCATACCATGTATAGCATTACTGGGCATGAAGAGATCAACATGATAATAATGTTAGAATTGGCCCTGGGGTCCAGATACCTTTGAAACAGTTGAAATCCTCATCCCTTAACCATATATATAGAATTACTTGTAAGAATTGACAATTGGGTGTGACACACCTGAAGGGACCTTATTTCTGGGTCACATTTTTGATATAGTTGAGATATCAACCCGATAACCATATGAGCTCTTACTGGGAATTAAAAGAGAAAGAAAGTAAAGATATAAATATTTACTCATTGGTCTTGCCCCATCAAAGAAGTTAAGTGCCTGAACTTTAATTTGGAAATATTTGAAATACACAACCTATAGGCATGTATAACATTGCTAGGCTTCTAGATCCTGTGGGGCTCTTGTTATGCTGTGGCACCTGTTTTGTGTCTTCGTTATTTTATAAGGCGCACATAGTGATACCATTGTCAGTCTCATCCTGTCTTGTACAGGCTCAGTGTTTACTGATATGAAAAAATCAATATGATGTTTAAGTGAAAACCTGGGACAATTTTTCATTCAGAACAAGATTTTAATCATTTTTGCGAAATTTATGAAAAATTGTTGACAGATTATTTCAGAAGAAATTTTTATGAAACTTAGTGAAATGTTCAAATTACAATGAGTAGAAAATTGTTTTATTAATACCGTGTTATATCCAATTAATTTTTATTTTATCTTGTGTATTTAACATATAACTTCAGTGACAGGATGTTGTACTTAAAGATATTTTTCTTAGGAAATAATCATGATGAATAATGAAAAAACACCACTTTTATGTTTACAGAGAATTTTTATATGGGGCCATTACAAAGTATTGATAAAATTATTGAGAAGAAACTTGACGAGATAGAAGCGAAGGTGATGTGGAAGGTCACATTCAAGGTCAGTGTTGTGTCTTTCACAAATATAATGCTGCTGTCATCTATTTTACAAGTACAGGTCACTGTAGCATGTTCATTTCACTAGATAAAATTTTCATTCTATGTGACAAACCTCTGTGTGTTATTATCCACTAGCTGATGGAAGATGACCCTTGCTTTTCATGTAGCAATAAACCTAGCCAACACATTTTCATTACAAAGGTCACTTTTATACCCAAGATGTTTATATTTGCAAAAATTACAGAACATGTTTGTGAAAGTTTAGGGGTTGGAAGAACAAAAAGAACATTTGAAATTATCAACTATTGCAGTATAGAAAGACTAAACAACTGGTGTTATAACTATACACAACTAACCATTGCAGTAAATCTGATTGTTGGATGTATGATTATCCTACAGTCCATTTATAAGTTGAGTTCATACTTGAAGTGATTACAGATTTAGATAATAGCAAGTTTAGTAGAGAGGTACAGAAAATGAGGTGCAGATGTCTGGTACATTTTAAGTGCCCTTCAATTTTCCAGAACGCTCTGAGGGGGAAGCCACACATCAGGGAGTTGGACAGACCTAATCTGAAACTGTCTTGTCAGGTAAGTGGATTGATATTAAAAATACCACAAGTTGTTTCTTACATGTTTAAGAAGATGCTTGATGAAATAATGTGGTATATGGGATATGATAACATTCCTTATTTCATATCTAGAATAGCTCATGAAAATAGAGACGTTTTACATTCTGTCATCACAAGTCATCAAATAAAAAATAAGCTGCAATGAAATGTACTTATGTTCTATATCAGGCTCTTTTGACATACTTTGTACCTATGTAAATTTCAGGCTTGTGAAAATGCTAGTCAACCTGCTATCAAATCTATCCATTTGTTTGGTCAGTCGTATGACCATTTCACTTTGGAGGAGAATACCAGCAGTGCTACAGACGGAGGAAGTATGGTATGTCATAAATTGTTGCATTCTTGAGACATTTATGTGTAAAAACTGAAAGACAGACTTCGGCTTAAACATTGAAACAGACATGTTCTCATGAAAAAACACTTGTAAATAAATAGATATTCACTGAAGGCTACTGTTTTAATGTTGAAGTATTTGAGTCCTTTACAGTTCTTTCAGAGATAAATAATATCACTTTACAAAACGCTACTCTGAGTCACAAATGATATAAACATATCTGCATGGACAAGTAGTGAAATAATGCACAATCAAAGCATATTGCATATGATATGTAAATGTTTGTGAAATTGTGTTTTGTTTTCAGTGTTATGATATATATATATATGTGAAAATGATCAAGAGAATTTGTGTTGAATTTTTCCAGGAATTTATGATCGGGAAGACGGCAGCTAGTTACGTTGGACCCTATCACAGTCTCTACCACTTTAAATACAATTTGTATAAACGGTGCTTAGCAAAGGTAGGTACACCCATATTCCAACAAATTAGGTATTGAACTGTCAACTTTATGGTAACAGAACAATTGGAGGGGGAGGAGGTGTATTTTTGTTGATTTTAAGGGTAATCAAAACCTACAAATTGATCTGGCCAAGAAATGATAAAAAGTGGAATTCAACATGAGTTTTATTAAGAGTGGACATTGTTAATACTGTTTATCCACAAAATCAAATGCAAACATGAGAGTATTCTTATGAAAAAAAATATATGAATTCACAGTAGATGGTACTTGGCAGAAGTAGGTAATTACCTGGTAGAGCTTTATGGTAACAGAACAGCTGTATAAATGGTTCTAGGTGGAAAGAGGTTCCTTCTTGAATATCTGCTGTTTGGTAATGGTGTGATGGAATGTTGTTTGATTTTATCTTCATGTTCAAAGTGCAAATGCAAGGAATACAGTTTATGAGCATTCGTCAGGATGGGACCTGAACATGCTTGTTGATCATGTTGATGCTTGTTGACAGATCTTGTAGAAACCGACCAGTAACTTTCATCAAGCATTTGATTATAGCATGTAGCTGCAGGTTAATGTTGAAGGAAACCTGATGTCACCTAGAGCCTTAGTTAAGAAGTTCATCATCTCATCCTGTCATCAGGCCTTTAATGATAGAATCCAGTGAAAGCTGAAAGAAAACATTGGTGTTGTTTGAAGAATTGCACCAGTCTACTCCACCTTATTTCTCACTTTATACAGAAATATGCATCAGCAATGAAAGATTTTAGCATACACCAAGATTACATTTTTTGTAAGAGTGTAGTTAGTACTGAAGATATTCAGAAGCTGCATTCTAAATTAGTTTTCTGTTTTTTCCAGGTTGATATTGTCCGACAAAGTGACAATGAACTTGACAATGCTGAGGTGTTGGACCGATGTCTAAACAACAGAACCTGGGTACTCAAGGTCAGTGGCAGAGTATTTATCAGATTACTAGCTTAATCTGCCATGGAATAGGCCAATTTGATAAATATTACATGTAAAACTAACATCATCTGTGTAATTCAATTGCCTCAGTATTGAAAATAAAATGGTACCAGAGTCTCCCTTCAAAATGATATCGCTGCTCATAAGATAATGAATGCAAGAAAACTTGTGAAGACTAATAGAAAAAATATACTTTTCCTCCGATTAGCCATTGTTTTGTAACATAAAAAGGGAAGTTTTTGTGTAAATGTGTTCATGGTAAAGATATTTCCTATTGAAAATTATCTTAACTAGTATAATTTGTTTTGCGGTTACAGATCTTTGATGACCTGAAGAATATGTTGGACAAAGGATGAACGGACAGAACTGCCTGGGCGTGGAATGAATGATGTGTGTGTGGATGTAAGGGGATTCATTTGTGTGGAACTTGTGTCTGTCCTTGCCATAAAAGATGTTCAGGAAAAAACTTTCAGTCAGTCACTTACCTTACCCTATTGTGGTATAGTGTCATATCTCCACCTACTGGACATCCTTTTCAACATATGTCAATGGACTTGGTACAGAAGACTTGACAGCCTTATTAAGCTTTAGTTAGGTCTTTGTTGCTGGGTTTGTTACAAGTAATTGAAAAAATGTATGGCAAGTCAGATTTTAGTCATTGCACATGATGTGCATTCAGTAGTTTTTGTCAAAACTACGGTGATAATATGTGCAAGTCAATTGTCAAAATGTGATGATGAAAATAATGTTGAATTGTTTAATATAAAAGTTATCTATACAAGCCAAACAAGCCAAACAAAACCGGAGAAAAACTAAAAGGACAGCATTGAAGAGGTATCATGTTGTAGTTAGGAATTGCAATACTGACACACCATTAATTTTTTTGGGTTGTGTCCTCATTTGTTTTCATTTTTTTAAGAGAATAAAATGTTTTCATATACAGGTATTTTATACATCAATGTATATGGTAATCTTAGCCCCAGCTAAGTCCCATTTTCATGGCTTTAAGAACATTGTCATATTAGTGAATTTAAAATCTTTAGTTTCATGATTTCTTTTTGTGATTAATGCCCAAGATTTTTAATTGATAGCTGAAGTGGAAATATAAATTTTTCTTCTTTTATTGACATAATTATGTATTGTATCCACCAACATCGAAAATCCTGTAACACAATATTTTTGATTTACTCTGTTAAGTAATTTTTCCAGTGGTAGAAAATGAACTTCAGTTTTAATTCATACCCTCAAAATGCTTTTCATCTGAATTTATAAAAAACGATAGATTGTTTCTGACAGCTGATTAAACTCTACTCTGGTTTCATTTGTTATCTCTTAGTATTGTGTAAGAAGAACAAAAAACATCCAACATTTATTGATTTCCAATCAATTTCCCTTGAAAAATACCGAAATATATCTACTAGAATACACTTATGCTGTTAACAATATTCCAGTAACATTCAGTACCCTGAATAATAATTTATAGGAACTTTATAACAAAATTACTTGCCTTCTGTTTAATTTTTTTGTGCTGGTATGTTTCCTTAAACAAATTTACAAATTTCAACAGTCGATCTTTTTGTTTTACCATGTAAAGAAAGGACAAAATGAAAACTTTGAATTCTTAAAACTAGGCTTTATAGTATATAAAGCATAGTGGTGACTTCAGAATTCAGAAATTTTCATTGAAATATATATTTCACAAATGTTTTCTTTTACTTGGGGTTCAAAGTTTGAACATGATATTTGTTTTGAATCTAGGATGTTATAAGTTTTGTCTATTTATATTGTTATAATTGAATAAGACATCTTATGGAAAAAGACAGACATTATCTAATGATTTGTATGTTTGATTAGAATTTGTTTAAAGTATTATCCAAGTACTAGATACATAAATGTTTATTCCTGAGAGTACGAGGTACTATGCAGATTTGATTTTTTTTTTTTTTTTTTCTTGAAAGTTTTCATTTTTCTTCTTTTTTCAGCAGTCGAAATGAACTCGCAAAGAATAAACAGAATATGAATGTAATTGAACTTTTACAACTTATATTTGATACAGCAGGTCTCTTCTTTGAAATGTCCCAAGTCTGTATAAATATATGAATAATGAGAAATGACAAACATTGTAACTTGATAACATACAAATTTATACCAAAATCAAACATTTATCAATCCATTTGTCAAGGAATATTGGTAGTCTGGACCTTTTGAATACATTCTCCCACCTCCAACTTTAACAGTCCATGTAAAACCTGAATATTTATATATATTCAAAGGATTTTTGCATTTATTGAATGGCAACTTATTTTTACAATTAATTTGAATTACTTCCTTTGTTAAAACGTGAAAAACTGAAGGTTGTAGGTATCTGGTGAATTATAGGGAAGATGGAAAATGTCTTTTAGTTGGCAAAACTTTGAAATTTTGTAAAGGACAAAACTAGATTACATTTGTTTAGTGGCTCAAACGAAAGAAACTTTGGAATCTATATCTTTGAATATATGTGTGAAACACAATGGGGTATTAACTGTCTATCACAATGGGATAATTCTGTGTAAAACACAATAGGGGGTACATGTATTTCAGTGTAAATCACAATCAGGATAATTTGGGGTTTTTTTTTAATGAATCAATTCTTATATTTGTTTTTAATTTCACAATTTTTGAAATCTTATTGTATTTGATAAGGACTGTTTCAGTAAAATACTTGTTTACCTTATGACTCCAACATAAATCACTTCTATCCAGGGATCTGTTCTCCTGCCTTTTACTTGTTCTACGAAATAAATTATCAATTGAAGTGGTTATATTAATAAACAAAACTTAGGAGTCATGAGGTGGGATAGATGTTTTAATGGGATGGTCCTGAAGTAGGTTTGTCAAACCAGAGTTCAGCATTGAAAGTTCTGTTTAATTTATAAGATAAAGAGACATGTTTAATTTTACGAAGACCTGGAGGAGGTGAAGAAAATTAGAATTTCCTGTGGCATTGTGTAAGTTTTTATTGTGATTTTTTTAGTCAGAAATTTACTACTTCAGATAAAATATTTTGCTTAATATGTGCTTGTTTACATAAAGTTGTCTGAGAATTCTTATGTATACAGTTAAGTCTGGTGATTAGTGGAAAAGACGTTTTGCTAGATATATTGTAGATTTAACTTTGATATGGAAGTTTTTCCATTAATAATATGTAAACATCAAATGATCATAATAAAATAATCTTATATTGTCCTCTTGTGTGTTATTATGAATGAAGCTTTTCAGGAAACCTGTAGTGATGGTGGAAGTGGGTGGAATACTGATTCCATGTCAAATTATCACTGTAATGACATGTAGGTGTCAAGCAATGTCACTTAAAATGCATCTTACTAAAAGAATAATCTTCTCCCTCAGTGTAAACCTGACATTTTTTATTTTAATATATAACCTCTAGAAGTTATAAGTAAAAATGTCTGTTGGCTGTACTTGATGGTTGAAAAATAATTGGGAATGCAAGAACGTTCTGAGTTAGATGTTGGTTTCATTATTTGGAAATACTGATTATTTTTTGTATGCAGCATAAGCAGAATCTTTTCTGTTCTGTATTTGTCCGTCATCATGCTTCGTCTGATGTCATTTGTAGTGTGTAAACTTTTTTGTTTATACCTGGATGGATTTCAACCAAATTTGGTCTGATACATCATTAGGTGAGGGTAATCATTTCTTAATTCAGAAATTTGATTTGACCTGTAGGGTTCGAGGGACGGGCCCCAAAGGGGGAAGTGCTGAAATTGGATTTAAAACCTTACTCCTCATTTTTGCTTTGGTGGATGTCCTGATTCATCAGTTATGGTAGGCAATTATTTCTTAAATTCAGAGAGTGGATTTGACGCCAAGGGACTTTGGGCGGGGCCCCAAAAGTGAAGTTAGGCAATATTTTGCTTCAAAATGCTACTCTTTCTAAATGCTTGAATGGATTTCAACCAAATTGGGTTTGAAACATCATGGAGAATGGGAAATAACTTCTTAAATTCAGAAAGTTGATAAATCCAAAATTAATCGGAATGACTTTGATCCACTTGAAAGGTCACAGGGATCAAATATAAATATTTAAATGACTTCTTCTCACTAACCAAAAGCAAGGATGATGATATTAGGCCTGTAGCATGTTAGAATGAAGGGCTACCAAATTTGTAAATATGAATGATATTGACACTCTTTCAAGGTCATAGGGGTGAAATGTGTGGAAATGCTTAAGCAACTTCTTCTTCATAACCGAAAGGCCTAGGATGATATTAGACCATAGTATGCTAGGATGTAGGGCTACCTACTTTGTTGATAAGAATGACATTAACCCCCTTTCAAGGCCACAGGTACCAATGCGTTAAAATGTTTGAATTACTCCATAATAACCAAAAAGCCCAAGGTGCAGATTATTGTACCAATTTTCAAGGCCACAGGGGTCAAATGTGTTGAAATGCTTAAGCAACTTCTTCTCAATAACCAAAAGGCCAAAGGTTTTGATTTTGGCCTGTAACTTGCTTTTTCAACGAGCAATACATCCAGAGTAATGGCAATTGTGTAGTGCATGTATAAAGAATATAATACAAGTTTGCATAAAATATCTTGATTAACCAAGTGTCTTCTATGTAAGCTCTTTATAGTCAGATGGGCCTCCTGTTCTTCCTAATTTTCTGGTGTAAATAAAAATATGAAAACAATTCATGATATAAAATGCTGTGATTGAAAGTGCTCTCTGTCCATCTGTGGTCAGTCTGTTTGTTTGCCTTTAACCAGTTCTTGTTATTGTTGTTTCTCCAGAACTGCTGGATGTATTTCAAATGAAAGTTTGTCTTGGTTCAGAGTTGTTCGTTTGAGACCAATTAAAAAAACAAAGCCAGCAGATGATCCACTCAGGATTTGATAATAGAAATCTATTGCTGATATTTCATGAGAACTGAGTGGCTACTTATTGGATCAGTCTCATTTATACAAAACTTTGGTACGCAAATATTGCTAGTGAAAATAATGGGATTTCATGTAAGTGAAAAATTACAACAAGAAATAGTGTACAACTATGTTTATTTTCACAGTCAACAGAAATACAGAATTTTAACATGTTAACTACACTACACTATATCACAATAGTGTTTACACTAATACAAGTACAGTGATATAGATTTAGTACAATATCCTAGCTTACTTCACTCTCTAGTTTATAACAATAATCGGTATGTATTTGAAGACAAATAAATGTTTTAAATTCCATGAAGAATGGAACATCGGTAGATTATCAAATCAAGATAAAAAATAACATACGTGTGTATATATACGTGATAACAAACGATTTACACAAAACTGATTACACAAAATAACTAATATAACAAGTGATAAATGAAAACACTGGACCAGGATACACTATAGTTATAAGTGACATTTCTACATACCAGGGCATTTTAAATCATGCATATGTGTTTATCCACAGGTTTCCACTTCAAACTTAAAAAGTCAAGTCTGACAATTATGAAAAAAATTTTGTAGGAATTTTTAATGTATTTTTATGGGAAACCTGACACAATGCAAATGATAAAAATTACTTTTACTTATTAAGTATAGAAGATAATCTAGAGTCACCACACATGGGATTCTTATTTTATGCAACCTGGTTATGAATAATGTGCTAGATGGTTGATTTGGTTAATTTGAACAAATCATATGTCAACACTGTGGAGCCTACCACCAAAGATTTTTTTTTTTTTTTGTCAATTGAAGACCGATTTTAAAGACTTCTCTTTACTTATTCCCATTTAAGAAATGCAAGATTTTTGTTGTTGCTGGAAAAGATATACCGAAATGTTGCTTTAAAAGGTACAAAGACATCAGATCCTTAACCAGAGTAACCTCCCTCTCAAGTCTTGTTAAAACGATAATTTGACTATTTAGTACCTGAACATCAGATCATTAACCAGAGTTACCTCCCTCTCAAGTCTTGAGAGCAATTTAACTAATACTAAATCGGCATTTAGTCTGATTACTTTTGGTTCTTTTCTTTCATAAGCACAAGATTATAATTACTGAAATTGCACCTTTGACGAAGTATAGTATAACATTTCAATAAATCTGAAAATATTTATCAGCTAATTATACCACTTCTCCACTGGAAGTTCAACAAAATGATCAACTTCAATAATGTGATTCGGACAGTTTCTTCAATCAAAACAAGCTACATAGGTCCACATCACAACTTATCAACTTACTACATCATTTCTATATTTTCAATGAAAATTGGTAAGCTTAAGCCAAACGTAAACAAAAAACAGAGACTAGCGTATATATACACAATAATTAAAAAACACGAACACAGCAAGGAGCAAACAGAAATTAAAGTATATGTTGAACAATAAAAAAAAGGTTAAAAAAATGTAATAAAATTCTAAGTCGGTAGTAAGATCAATTTTGCACTACAATGAAGACAATTTGTATAAGTAAATGAAGGGTAAACAATAAAATTACATCAACAACACAAAATGGATTATAATAAAATGAAACACTAGAAGTGATTTTGTCAATGGTCATAGTTTGATTCAACAGAAATCGTTTGGTGCATTACAGAAAGATAGGTAAACGTGTTATAAAATCTATCTTCTATTTTGCATTAATTTCAAACTAGAATTTGAACATGGAGAGATAAATAAATATATGTTGTTCTATCATACTTGAAGTTGCATTAATCAAGATATTGCATAAGGTATTATAATGTTTACCTTGACCTCTGACCTTTGCTTCTGATCTAATGAAACTAAGCAGTATGGCCCCTGTTATTTGAAGTTAGATAAATAGTGGTTAGTGAAAAATTTCAGTTGTTGCCTATGCAAAAACAGTGTTTTCGGCAAAATTAACACTCAAAATACAACAACAAATCTAAAGCTATTAAATGTTTTGAATTCTGTTGATCTTAAAGAATTTTCACTTACCACTAGTTATCTTGAAACATGTGAGGCCTGACTGTTTACAGAAAAATTAAGCAAGGAAAGTTATGAATATGCAAACCAATTGTAACTTATGATGACCATCAACTTTCTGACCTCAAAAAAAATCTATCCTTTCCCTCTCTTAAGCAACCTTCAGATAATATGATAAGATACAGAATGAAATCGTGCACAGATTCAGCCTTACATCATGTACATGTTGAAATGTGGGATCGTGAAATCCCAAGACTGGTTAGGCTCAACAAACAAAGCATATAAAGCCAAAATATTATGTCATTGATATCCAGAGATGCAAACAAAAATACAGCATTTCAATGTTCCTTGATTTTCATGATTTCAACAATTTACTAACAATATAGAAATGTCAACAGATCATTATACAAATCATCATTCTCATCAATCCAGTTCAAAACATTATCATTGTTTTGAAAGATAAACACACAATTCATACACAACCAATCTACAGGAATACATTGTAATATACTTATCACAAAGACATCTATTAAATAATTAGCAATGTCAGAAACAAATCAGTAGACAAAAATCACTTGTGTATATTATTCTTTTTCACTTAAGTCATAGTTTTTACTTACTGCAGATCTTGAAACACTTATTACAACAGAATACTTAATGCTAAACATATAGCTTTATACGAAAGTAAAAAATGATCCCCAATAAGAAATGTCTCCCAATAGCGGATTCTCTTTCAATGGACAGGTATATCCACACTTCTCACTGGTGTGGGATTCCCTTGTCTCACCCTAAGGTTGAGATAGGGGGATCCCCTGTCAGGACAATGATATGACATCACAGTAACATTTCATTTAATCAGGTGTATGATACTGAATATGGTTTGCAGGGTAACAAGAAAATTATCATTCATCCCATTGTTGGTAAGATAGGGGATCTAAGCCTTAAGGATAAGATGATTTAGTTGCAAACACTCAGCATGCCTTATGTTTACAAACTGAATCATCTATCCCCTCAGGTGGAGATCATCTTGTCTAATCACCATGAGGAGGAACAATTTTATTATTCTAAAATTGGGGAAGAATTTCAGCAAATCAAACTATGCCTTATCACATCTATAGCTGCATTTACAAATGTAACACTTCATTTGCTGATAATGTTTACAGAATTGTGTGGTTTGCTTAAAACAGACAAAACAATGTATATATTTCATAAGTTATATCTTTGGTTACAACAGATCTTCAAAGTCTAGATACAAACATGAAAGTACATCTTGACAATATATAACAGATG